AGGGGCTGTAGGAGGTTACAGAAGTAGAGAAGGATGTAGGTCTGGAGGAGGTTATAGAGGTAGGAAGGGCTGTAGGGGCTGGAGGAGGTTATAGAGGAAGGGAGGGGTGTAGGGGCTGGAGGAGGTTGCCGAGGTGGATGGGGTGTAGGAGCGGAGGAGGTTGCGGAAGTGGGGGGGTGCGGTGTTGGGACTGGCTGGCCATTTGATCTGAGATGAGGGGGAATGATTTCATCCAGAATGAATGAATCTGTGGAACTGTCTACTGCAGAAGATTGTCAAAGCTCTGAGACAGAAATCAATTGTTTTCTGGAGACAAATAACTCCTGGGGGTATGGAGATGGTGAGGGAAATTGGCACTGAGGTGGATGCTTCGCTCTGATCTAATTGAAAAGCAAAATGAACTCGAGCTGAATGACCTATTAGTGATCCTATGTTGCTACTATTTACATCTTTACAGAAATTTGACCTGTCAAACACAATCACTCTTTTTTCAAACCATGTTGATTTTGTCTAATTTGTTGGATAAACCCCAGCCTAGGATTTGAAAAGAGGTAGGTACAGGGACAGTAAATGCGCTGGCTAGGATATTCCAAAGTTTCTCTGATTTGGGCATGATGCCTCACGTTGGAATTTATCTAATGTTCAATGGTTGATCAAGGAAGGCAGGAGAAAGAGAAACCTGAGAACAACCGTCTCAGATTCTCCACCATTTGCAGTTCCTACTATCTCTGTCCAGTTAACCTGATATATCAATAATTGGGAAATTACTGGAATCTAATACTTAAGATGTTTTAACAATACATTTGGAAGACCATATTATGACTAGAGCAAGTTCCTACACATTTACTGTAGAGGATATAGATCAGTTGGTGACTTGGGCAGAGAGATGGCAGATGGAGTTTAATCCGGAAAAATATCAGGTGATATATTTCGGAAGGTCTAATCCAGATGGAAAATAAACAGTAAATGTCAGAACCCTTAAGAGTACTGACAGGCAGAGGGATCTGGGTGTACAGGGATACAGGTCACTGAAATGAATCACTGATAATGCAGGTGAAGAATGTAGTCAACAAGGCATATGGCATGCTTGCCTTCATCAGCTGGGGCATTGAGTTTAAAAATTGGCAGGTAATGTTGCAGCTTTATAGAACCTTGGTTAGGTCGCATTTGGAATATTGTGTTCAATTCTGGTCGCCACACTAGCAGGGAATATGGTGGCTTTGGAGAGGGTACAGAAGCTGTTGCCTGGTATGAAGGGCATTAGCTATGAGGAGAGGTTGGAGAAACTTGCATTGTTCTCACTGGAATGATGGAGGTTGTGGGGGGGACCTGACAGAGATCTGCAAGATTATGAAGGGCCTGGACAGACTGGACAGTCAGAAGCTTTTTCCCAGGGTAGAAGAGTCAGTTACCAGGGGCCATATGTTTAAGGTGCGAGGGACAAGGTTTGAAGGTGACGTACGAGGCAGATGTTTTACACAGAGGGTGGTGGGTGCCTGGAACTCGCTGCTGGGGGAAGTAGTGGAAGCAGATACAATAGTGACTTTTAAAGGGGGTCTTGACAAATACATGAATAGGATGGGAATAGAGGGATACGGTCCCTGGAAGGGTAGGGGGTTTTAGTTGTGACAGGCAGCATGTCAATGCAGGCTTGGAAGGCCAAAGGGCCTGTTCCTGTGCTGTAATTTTCTTTGTTCTTTGTTCTTTGAATTCAATTTGTCAAATTCATTTAAGTTTATTGAGTTGTGTGGGTGAAGAGATATGGTAACCAATAGACAACTCTTTGTTCCTGGGAAATGATTTGAGTCTTCAACATTTAGCACATTTTTGCTCTGGTCTCTTTCCACGGTCTCTGATAGGACCCAAAGAGAAACCGAATTGGACAGTGGAGAGACGTAGAGCCCAGGCAGGGGATTGTGGATCTGACCTTTGACCTGATGCGTGAACCGCTCCTGGGGACATACGAGATCGAAGGAATGCAGAGCCAGGGGAGGAAATTCCATCATCATTTCAGTGTGGAAGAGTACGGTACGATATCTGACCCAGACAGAACGTCGCTCTCGAACAGCATAGCCTCCACTCCCCTTTCTATTCATCAGCAGTATGCTGCTGAGGGTCAGAAATTAGGTCAGGATTGACACAAGCCAACTGAGTAAAGGGCAAAAACAGAGTCAAAGATGTCACATTTAAGGCCAGCCTAAAGACCATAAGATTTAGGAGCAGAATTAGGCCATTCAGCCTATCATGGCTGTTCTGCCATTCAATGAGATCACGGCTGATCTGATCATTCTCAATTCCACATTGTTGCCCTTTCCCAATGATTCCCTAACTGGTTTAAAAATCTTTCTCACTCAGTCTTGAATATACTTCATGACCCAGCCTCTACAGCCCTCTGCGGTAAAGAGTTTTACAGATTCACAATCCTCAGTGAAAAACAATATCATCCCTGCCTTAAAAGGGTGATCCCTTATTCTGAGATGATGCCCTTTGGTCCTAGACTCTCCCACAAGGGATAATGACTTCTCTGCATCTACCTTGTCAAGTCCCCAAAGAATCTTAGCAGGTCTGAATTCTCCCTACAGATGCTGCCAGACCTGCTGAGTTCCTCCAGCAATTTCTGATTTTGTTCCAGATTTTCAGCATCTCCAGTTCTTTGGTTTAGTTATCCCCTAAGAATCTTGTATGGTTAATAAAGCTGCCTTTCATTCTTCTATATTCCAATGAGTACAGGCTCAATATTTTCAACCTCTCCTCATAAGGCCGCCCCCCATATCTGGGATTAACCAGGTGAACCTTCTCTGGACTACCTCCAATTCTGGTATATCTTTCCTCAAGGAAAACATTCTCAGTATTCCAGTTGCGGTCTGAGAAGTGTCTTTTGTAGCTACAGAATAACCTTCAAATTTTATACTCCATTCACTCTGAAATAAAGTCAACATTTCATTGGCCTTCCCAGTTACCCACTAAACTCTTTTTTTGTACTTGGCAAAGAGCAATAGGAAGAAAGAGAAGAAACAGAGAGCTTAGGAAGCCCAGAGATTGACAAAGAAAACAGTGATAAGGAGTTATAGCAGCTGGAGGAGGTTACAGAGATAAGGAAGGGTAAAGGGGTGAAAGGAGGTTACAGATATAGGGAAGGGTGCAGGGTTTGGAGGAGAGAACAGATATAGGGAGGGGTGTAGGGTCTATAAGAAGCTACAGAGGTAGGAAGGGTTGTAGGGTCTGGAGGAAGTTGCAGTGATAGAGAGGGGTATAAGGGCTGGAGGAGGTGACCAAGATAGGGAGGGGTCTAGGGGCTAGTGGAGGTTGCAGAGATAGGGAGGTGTTAGGGCTGAAGAGACAGGGATTTTTGTCGACACTGGAGGATTTTAAGGAGATAAAGGAGGGAAAGGAGTTTGGGTGATGAGGGGTTGACACAACGGATTAAATGTTTAAAGTCTACTGTAGTTGGACTGGGAGCTGATCTCAGAAGTCTCTGTCAGGAATGGGGATGACTGAAGGACTGTAACTTGGCTAAACTTCAACGTGGTGGCTGAACAAGACTGAATTTCTAACCTTTCATTCATTCAGTTTTACCCAAGGCCGAGTTGAAGGTGAAAATGCCAGAAAAAATCACAGCTATTGACCCAACGATCCACATTGAAGTGTGCGGAAGGTAAAATGTCCCACTCTCCAACTCTGCACCTAAACCTGCCTTGACCCTGTCCTGGGAATGTTTGTTGGGGACAATGTAGAGGAAGCTCTACTGTGTATCTATTCCTGTCCTGTACCAGTCCTGGGATGTTTGATGGGGATAGTGTAGAGAGAGTTTTACTGTGTATCTATTTCTATGCTGTACCTGTCCTGGGAGTATTTGATGCGGTGCAGTATTGAGGGACATTTACTTTCAGTTTCAAAGGGTACAGAGAGATTTATTCTGATCTCATTCTGTGCTGCAGCTGACCTGGAAGTGTTTGATGGAAATGGTGTGGTCGGAGATTTACTCTGTGTGTAACTTTGGACTGTATATTTTGCAGATATACATATGGAAAGCCTGTGAGGGGACAGGTGAATGGCACCGTTTGTTTGGATCATATGAATGATGCCTCTGACCCTATTCATTGTCAGCACATTTTTGGTGAGGTAGGTCCTACTTTCATTGAAGCCACTTCCCCGTGAAGAAGCTAAGATCGTTCATGGCCGCACTTTTGGAGGGTCAGTGTTGAGGAAGTGCCGCATTGTCGGAGGGTCAGTGCTGAGGGAGTTTGCACTGTCGGAGGGTCAGTGCTGAGGGACTGCCACACTGTCGGAGGGTCAGTGCTGAGGGAGTTCGCACTGTCGGAGGGTCAGTGCTGAGGGACTGCCGCAGAATTTTGCAGAGTTCCTGTGTTTGCCTGGAACGAGGTCTGTTTCCCCCTTTTGGTTGTTCTCTGATTACCAGCCATGAATTGACTTTTTTCAGATGGATTTGAATGGTTGCCTGTCTACAGATCTCTCCACTGATATGTTCCACTTTAGAGAAAGTGCAAACCACAGACGCATTGATGCACAGTTTGTACTGACAGAAGAGGGGACAGGTCAGTCTCGGGACAGATGCAACTATGTGCTCACCTCTCTCTCTCCTTTAACATTCTGCCCAGTGTCGTCAGCTTGCCAGTTTCTTATTCCGCCCTTGAACTCTGTCCTGGTGCCTCTCCCACTCAGCGTCTCCTACTGTGTACCTATCTCTCACCCCACTAAGTCTCTCTCAAACTCCCGTGGCATTCAATCTCCTCCACTCTCTCCCTGTCCCACTGTCTCTCCCACTTTGCCTTTGTCCTGCTCTCACTCCAACTCTATCCCACCCTCACTATGTCTGTCTGCCTGTCTCCCTCCACTACTGTCTCTCTTAATCACTCTGCCTCTCCCTCACTGTCTGTTCATCACCCTGTCATCCTCCCACTCTCTCCGTCCTTCACTCTGTCTCCCCCTCTCATCCTGTTTCTCTTCCCTCTGCCTCTCTCCCTCACTCTATTCCACTCTCATATTATTTCTCCCTCATACTCTCTCTCCTCCATGTCTCACTCGTTCACTCTGCCTACCCTCCTCCCTCACTGTCTCTCTCCGTCTTTTTTTTAAAATTCATTTGTGGGATGTGGGCGTTGCTGGTTGGCCAGCATTTATTGCCCATCCCTAGTTACCCTTGAGAAGGTGGTGGTGAACTGCCTTCTTAAACCATTGCAGTCCAACTCCTGTGGGTTGACCAGCAATGCCATTAGGGAGAGAATTCCAGGATTTTGACCCAGCAACAGTGAAGGAATGGCGATATATTTCCAAATAGGATGGTGAGTGGCTTGGAGGGGAATTTGAAGATGATGGTGTTCCCATATGTCTGCTGTCCTTGTCCTTCTAGATGGAAGTGGTCATGGATTTGGAGGGTGCTACTTGTGGATCTTTAGTGAATTTCTACAGTGCGCCTTGTAGATAGTACACACTGTTGCTACTGAGCGTCGGTGGTGGAGGGAGTGAATGCTTGTGGATGTAGTGCCAATCAAGCGGGCTGTTTTGATCTGGATGGTGTCAAGCTTCTTGAGTATTGTTGGAGCTGTAGTGATCCAGGCAAGTGGAGAGTATTCTATAACACTCCTCACTTGTGCTTGGTAAATGGTGGACAGGCTTTACTTACAGTTACTTGCTGCAGGAAATTGAATGTCAAGGGGCAGTGGTTAAAGTGTCGCTTATTGGTGATGGTCATAGCCTCGCTTTTGTGTGGCATGAATGTTACTTACCACTTGTCAGCCCAAGTCTGGATATTGTCCAGATCTTGTTGCATTTAGACACAGACTGCTTCAGTATATGAGGAGTTGCAAATGGTACTGAACATTGTGCAATCATCAATGAACATCACAACTTCTGGCCTTTATGATAGAAGTAAGGTCATTGATGAAGCAGCTGAAGATGCTTGGGCCTAGGACACTACCCTGAGGAATTCCTGCAGAGATGTCCTGGAGCTGAGATGATGGATCTCCAAAAACCACAACCATCTTTCTATGTGCTAGGTATGATGCCAGCCACCAGAGTTTGCCCCTGATACCCATTGATTCGAGTTTTGCCAGGGTTCCTTGACGCTACACTCATTCAAATGCAGCCTTGATGTCAACAGCAGTCACTCTCACCTCACCTCTGAAAGTCAGCTCTTTTTTCCTCCATATTTGAATCAAGGCTGTAATGAAGTCAGGAGCTGAGTGACCCTGACAGAACCCAAACTGGGTGTCACTGAGCAGGTGCTGATCTATAGCACAGTAGATGACACCTTTCATCACTTTAGAACCATAGAATCCCTACTGTGTGGAGCAGGTTCTTCGGCCCAACCAGTCCACACCGACACTCGGAGCATCCGACCCGGACCCATACCCATACCCTTATAACCCACCTAATCTACACATCCTTGAACACTATGGACAATTTAGTATGGCCAATCCACCTAACCTGTACAGCTTTGGACTGTGGGAGGAAACCAGAGCATCCAGAGGAAACCCACGCAGACACGGGGAGAACGTGCAAACTCAACACAGACAGTGGCCCGAGGTTGGAATCGAACTCGGGTCTCTGGGGCTGTGAGGTAGCAGTGCTAACCACTGGGTTTACTGATGATCGAAATGACACTAATGGGGTAGTAATTGCCTGGGTTAGATTTGTCCTGCTTTTTATGTACAGGACATATCCAGGCAATTTTCCACATTCTCAAGCAGATGCCAGTGTTGTAATAATGCTGGCACAGCTTGACTAGGGGAGTGGCAAGTTCTGGAGTGCAAGCCTTCAGTACTATTGCTGGAATAGTGTCAGGGCCTGTAGCCTTTGCACTGTCCGGTGATTCCAGACATTTCTTGATATCACATGGAGTGAATTGAATTTGCTGAAGCACAGTATCTGTAATGCTGGGGACCACTGGAGGAGGCTGAGATGGATCATCCACTGGGCACTTCTGGCTGAAGATTGCTGTGAAAGCTTCAGCCTTATCTTCTGCACTGATGTGCTGGGCTCTTCCATCATTGAGGATGGGGATATTTGTGGAGCCTCCTCCTCCAATGAGTTGTTTAATTGTCCGCCACCATTTACTACTGGATGTGACAGGACTGCACAGCTTAGATGTGATCCATTGGTTGTGGAAATACTTACTCTATCACTTGCTGCTTATGCTGTTTGGCGTGCAAGTCGTCCTGTTTGGTATCTTCTGTTGCCTGTTACTGCTCCTGACATGCCCTCCTGCACTTTCCATTGAACCAGGGTTGATCCTCTGGTTTGATATGGGGGATATGGCAGGCCATGAGGATACAGACTGTGCTGGAATAGAATTCTGTTGCTGTTAATGGCACACCGTACCTCCTGGCTGCCCAGTTTTGAGTTGCTAGGTCTGTGCGAAGTCTGTCCCATTTAGCACAGTGATAGCACCACACAGCACGATGGAGGGTATTCTCAGTGCGAAGGCAGGAATTCATCTCCACAAGGTCTGTCTGACTCTGACTAATACGATCTTGGACAGATGGGGCAAAGGCTACAGGCCCTGACACAATTCTAGCAATAGTACTGCAGCTAGCAGATTGATAATGATGAGGTCAAATATCTTTTTCCCTCCTGTTTGGTTCCCTCACCATCTGCTGCAGACCCAGTCTAGTAGCTATGTCTTTTAGGACCCAACCAGCTCAATCAGTTGTGCTGCTGCTGAGCCACTCTTGGTGGTGGACATTGAAATCCCCCATCCAGAGTACATTTTGAGTCCTTGCCATCCTCACTGGTTCCTCTAAGAACTGTTCAATGTGGAGTACCCTATGAACTGTACGTCTTTGTTTGCTATGATCTGCCTGTACTGCTCGCAAAACAAAGCTTTTCAGTGTACTTAGGTACATGTGATGACAATAAATCAAATCAAATAAAATAAAATCAAGGAGTAGCGGTACATGAGGTGAGGGAAGATGATACATGGTAATCAGCACAAGGTTTCCATGCCCATGTTTAACCTGAAGCCATGAAACTTCATGAGGTCTGGAGTCAATGTTGAGGACTCCCAGCGTAACACTGTCCTAATTGTAAACCACTGTGCTGCTGGTGGGACAGGACATATCCAGGGATGGCATTGGCGGTGTCTGGGACATTGTCTGTAAGCTACGATCCCGTGAGTGTGGCTGTGTTACATTGTTGCTTCACTAGTCTGTGAGTCAGCTCTCCCAATATTGACACTAACCTCCAGGAGTCAGTGAGGAGGACCTCGCAGAATCGACAGGGTTGTTTCTACTGTTGTCTTTTCCGGTCCCTAGGTTAATGCCAGGTGAGCCATAGGTATCATTTCTTTGAGACTTTGTGGTGATTGGTACAACTGAATGGCTTGCTGGATCATTTCAGAGGGCAATTGAAAGTCAACCACATTGCTGTCCATCTGGAGTCACATGTAGGCCAGACCAGATAAGGGTGGCAGATTTCTTTCCCTGAAGGACATTAGTGAACCAGATGGGTTTTTTCAACAATTGTCAACAGATTCATGGTCATCATTAGACTCTTAATTCCAGATTTTTTAAAATTGGATTCAAATTCCACCATCTGAGTGGTAGAATGGGAACCGGGGTCCCCAGAACATTAGCTGAGATTCTGGATTAATAGTCTCGCGACAATACCATGAGGCCATTGCCTCCTCCTCAGGATGTCATGTTGGCTGAGTGGTTAGCATTGCTGCCTCTCAGTGCCATGGATCTGGGTTAGATTCCAGTCTTAGCTAACTGTCTTTGTCGAGTTTGCATGCTCTTCCTGTGTCTCTGAGGGGTTCCACTGGCTACATTGGTTTCCTCCCACAGTCCAAAGCTGTGCAGCATAGATGGTTTTGTCCGTGCAAAATTGTTCATGGTGTCCAGAGATATGCAGGCTAGGTGGATTGGCAATGATAAATGTAGGGTTACAGGGACAGGATGGAGGAGGGGTTGGGTCTTGATGGGACACTTTTTGGAGGGTTGGTACAAACATGATAGGTCAAATGGCCTCTATCTGCACTGCAGGGATTGTATGACACTCTTCTTTCTCTCTCCTTCACCCTCCATCCCTCGCTTACTCTGTTCCTCCTGCATGCTGTCACCCTCCAACTCTGTTTCTCTTTCTCACTGACTCTCTCTCTTTCCCTCACTCAGCCTCTTGCTCTCACTGTTTCTCCCTCTATTGTCTGTTCTGTCTTTTTCTCTCTCTCTCCCTCACTCACTCTACATATCTCCATCTTTCTGTGTCCCTCTCCCTTCCTCATTGTCTCTGCTTCCTTTTCTCACTTTGCCTCCCTCATTCACTGTCTATCTCCTCACTTTGCCTCTCTCCTTCCCCTGTCTCATTCTCTCACTGTCTCGGGATGAGCGGGAATGGAACAGAAAGGGTTTGGTTGCTGGAAGCCACTGGAGAGTCTTGAGGTGGCAATAGCGTGCGCCTGCTTGTTGTTCCTCCTCTTTATTTGGGGCAATCACCTCAACCCATTCAGGGAATGGTGGAGTGGAGGGAGGTCGAGGTGCCTCACCTATGAGTGCATGCAATGAATGGAAGTATCCGAGGGTCTAGCAATAGAACAAACGTCGCTGTCCATATATGACACATACAGGCTGTTCTGCTGGATTTGTCTCTGCACAGTGGGCACCACCCTTTCCTCAGAAGTTAGACAAAGCCCTCTGCCCATCCCTCAAGTCAAGCACCATCTCTGGTAATTCTGCCACATGGTGCCCTCTTTGCCACTGTATCTCTACCTGCTCATTCATGTCCAAGACTGGATCCACCTCAACCTTACTGGGCTCAGCACTGAGCCTGGCCTCCATCAGCTCTCCCAGCATCAGAGCCTGCAGTCATTTCTCCCTCCTTGTGCTCCTGTGCTAGTGTGTCCCCACCAGAATGTTAACGCTGAGGGGGAGGGGTATCAGCCAGAAGTCATGGCCCACACTGGTACCAACAACATCATTAAGAAGATGGATGAAGTCCTGAAGGCAGATTTCAGGGAGTTTGGCAGAAAATTACAAAGTATAATCTTAGGATTACCTCCAGTGCCACATCTGAACTGAGTTTCAGAACAGGAGAATAAACTGATGAACACATGGCAAGAGAACAGGTATAAGAGGGAGGGCATGAGATTCCTGAGACATTGGGAGTTGTTGGGCATGTGGGACCTATACATCTGTACAGCACTGATATTCTCACAGGGAGGTTTACTCGTGCTGTAGGGCTGGAGTTTAAACTAGCTCATCAGAAGTTTGGGAACCTGAGGGGGAACCAAAAATGAAAGGAAGTAAAGTTGATAACAGGAAGTTGAAAAGATGCTCAGGAGACTAGATGCCAGGAGAAATAAAGCCAAGCATTGAGTATGTTTCAAAAGTGGAATGATATCAGAAAGACTAAGTTAAGGGCACTCTACCTGAATGCTCACAGCATTCATAACAAAGTCAACAATCCAGTGGCACAAACAGAGATATGTAGGTATGATCTGATTGCCATTACAGAAACATGGTTGCAGGGTGACCAGGACGAGGAACTGAATATGCAAGGATAGTTAAAACTTAGGATGGCTAGATGAAAAGAAAAGGAAATGAAGTGGTGCTTATAATAAGGGATGGGATCAGTACATTAGTAAGGCTGGATCTTGGATTTGAAGAACAATGTGTGAAATCAGTATGGGTAGCACTTTGGAATAACAAGGAAGCAACAAATGTTGATTGAAATTATTCATAAGCCATCAAATAGGAGTGGGAATGTGGAGCATGGTATTAATCAGGAGATGAGAGAAGCACACAGCTTGGGCAACACAGTTATCCTGGGATAGTAGGAACTGCAGATGCTGGAGAATCTGAGATAACAAGGTGTAGAGCTGGATCTCCCCTCCCACTACTGCATCCCAAAACCAGCCCAGCTCGTCCCTGTCTCCCTAACCTGTCCTTTCTCCCACCTATCCCCTCCTCCTACCTCAAGCCCCACCCCCATCTCCTACCTACTAATCTCATCTCGCCCCCTTGAATTTCCGTCCTCCCTGGACTGACCTATCTCCTCCTTACCTCCCCACCTACACTCACCTTTACTGGCTCCATCCCCGCCTCTTTGATCTGTCTGTCTCCTCTCCACCTATCTTCTCCTCTATCCATCTTCTATCCGCCTCCCCCTCTCTCCCCATGTATTTCAGAACCCCCTTCCCCTCCCCCATTTCTGAAGAAGGGTCTAGGCCCAAAATGTCAGCCTTCCTGCTCCTCTGATGCTGCTTGGCCTGCTCTGTTCATCCAGCTCTACACCTTGTTATCATAAAATTTAGACATCTCTTTCCAGTATTTTCCAGCTAGTTTTGCTGCACGGACATTCTATCAGTAATACTATCTGTTTATTCACATTGAGACCCCTGGATACCATGACAAGCTGTGTAACTTCAATCTGGTCTTCAATCACTATGTCATTGAATGGAACAAAGAACAGTACAGCACAAGAACAGACCCTTCAGCCCTCCAAGCCTGTGCCAACACAAGACACCTTACTAAACTAAAATCTTTTGCCTCTGTGCAGTCAGAATCCTTCTATTCCCTGTCTATTCGTGTACCTGTCAACATGCCTTTGTAACATTGCTATTGTATCGGCCTCCACCACCTCCTCTGGCAGCACATTCCAGGCACTTACCATTCCCTCCAAAAATCTTCCCTCACTCATCTTTAAAGTTTACCTGAAACCTCTGTCCTGTAGTAATTCCACCCTGGGAAAAATACTCTGACTATCCATTCTATCCATGCCTCTCATAACTTTGTAAACCTCTATCAGATAGCCCCTCAGCCTCCAATGTTCAAGTGAAAGCAAACTGAGTTTGTCTAATTTCTCCTCATAGCTAATACCCTCTAAATACTATCTCTGAGTGAGTCCAGCATTGGCAGTTCTTACTATCTTTGAATATCCTGGTATGCCTGTTTCTGTATCCTCTTCAGAGCCTCCGTATCCTTTTGCAATTGTGGCAACTAGAACTGTACACAAGATTTCAAATGTGACCTAACTAAAGTGCTATACAGTTACAATATGATTTGCCACTTTATATACTCAATGCCCTAACAGACGAAGGCAAGCATGTAATATCCCTGCTGGATCATCTTATCCAATTACATTACCACTTTCAGGGAACTGTGGACCTATATGCCTAGATCCCTCTGAATGTTGGGGGTCTGTCTCTGTATCTGTTTGGCTTGTTACTCAGCAGCAAGTGGGATATACAACCTGGAAATATTGTTCCTTTCATGTGGAATGTCAAGGGGGAGCCTCTGCCTGGGTTCGGCCTAAAGGTCCAATCTCCTTCCACAATACCTAAGTCTTTCATGATCCTGGAGCAGCTTCAGCCTCTCTCTTCAACCATGCCACGTTCAACCCCTCCACCATCCATTCCATCTCAGCCTTTCAACCTCATCTGCCATGACATGGTATCTATGTTTTGTAATCCTGCTGATTATGCAAGAAATGCAACATGAGATTTGAATATATGGACAGCCCAATGATCATGATGCAGGGATTCAGCCTATTATGAATATGAAAGGAATTTAAAGTTTTACAGGAAAGTATTCGCAGTATTGACATAGAATGAAGTCTGAGGTTTCTATTGGGTTGAGGAATTCTTTGTCTGTCTGTCTGCTCCTTCTTCTCATCAGGCCTTGTCCCCTTCACAAAGACACTCATTTCCTGAGAGCGTCCATTTGACTGCTCCAGTTGCCCTCCTGCACCACTGCTTGAGTTTCCGTGCTCAGTGCCCTCCCTCACTGTTGCCACCTGCCAGCGGAGCTTCCGTTACACTTGGTCACTGCTACTCCAGGGATCAGGCTGGACATGATGAATTTTACCTGCCCATGAATATATAATGAGCTGAGAAAAACTGAAGAAATCCGAGTGGTAGTCCTTACTGCTTATAGGACCAGCTCCAAACTTAGTCTCAAACAATCAAAGACTCTACCCATGATCTTACTCTCTATGCCTGTCTTTGTCTGCATATTTATTTCTGCCTTTCAATTTCCTGATCTCTCCTTCTCTGTTTCTTACTCTATCTCTTCATATCTCTCTCCATGTCTGTTTTGCTCTATCTCTCACTGTCTGTAGTCTCCCACACCCCACCATCCTGTCTCTCCTTCTCTGTTTCTCCATCTCATTCTTGATCACACTCTCTGGCACAATACCTCTGTCACTGTCCCTCCCTTTTTTTGGAATTTGTTTTACTCTCTGACTAACTTAAAGTCTCTCACTCCGTATGTCGTTCTCTGTCTGAGATGGATAGCCTAGCACAATCTCTCTCGCACTGCTTCTTTCTCAATCTCTCTCCATTATTTTCTCGATCAATCTCCAAATGTCTATAGCTTCCATCTAAAAACACTGAATCTAATCCAAGGTATTCCAATGCGGTCAAGTGCAACATGTCAAGTTGAAAGCGAAATTATGAAGATCACATTTGAGGAGGTGGAAGATTATTACAAACCTGGAATTCCATACACTGCACAGGTAAGGCCAGAGGGATAAACTCTCCCACACAGACTGTGTAATGTATACAGAGTTAATCTTCGACACATGCACTGTGTAATACATTCTGGGTTAAATTTCCTAAGACATGCATGCTGTAACACATATTGGGTTAAGTTCCCCAACACACATGCACACTGTGTAATATATACAGGGCTAAACTCTCATAAACACACAATGTAATATATACAGGGTTACACTCTCCTGCACACACTATGTAACATATGCAGGGTTACATTCTCCTACAAGCACTGTGTAATATAAATAGTGTTACACTCTCCTACACACAAATTGTGAAATGTTTATAGAGGTTTCAGCTTTCCTTGCTCTGTTACATTATATTGACTGATCGGCTGTCTCTATTCAGATAAAAATCCAGTATACTACAGGGCAACCTGTCACCAATGTGACAATCAAAGTGTTAAATTCCTGGAAGCCTGGTCCAATGTTGGCGATCACAGATGAGAAGGGGATTGGCTCAGTGATTCTGGAAACCCCCTTACAATCCAATGAGTTGCTTTCCATAATGGTAAGTGAAAAGAAATATGGAGAGGAAACAGGGGTGTCAGGGGCGGAGTGAGGAATTACTGGATTTGTGGAGCGTTTCAGGCACCATATGGGTAATGAATGGTTGTATAGAGGATATTAGGCACCGTGCGAGTAATGACTGGTTTTATGGAGGATGTCGGGTACTGTGTGTGTAAAGAATGGTTTTATAGAGGATGTCATGCACCATGTGGATAATGGATGGTTTTATAGAGCTTATCAGGCACCCTCTGTTTAGTGAATGCATTTCTGGAGGGTATCAGGGACTATGTGGGAAATTGATGGCTTTATAATGGATATCAGGGACTGTGTGGGTAAAGAATGTGTTGACATAGGGTATAAGGGATCATATGGGGATTGAATGGATATATAAAAGGTATCAGACACTCAGTGTAGAGTAAGGGGTTTATAGAAGGCTTGAGGGACTGTCGGAATTGAGGGTGTTTATAGAGGGTATTGGGCTGAGAGGGGAATGAGGTGGTTAACGAGGGTATCAGGGCTGGGTGGGGAATGAGGGGGTTAGTGGGGGGTATCAACAGCTGGATGGGAAATAAAGGGATTTATGCAGTGTATCAGGCATTGATTGGGAAACGAGGGGTTTATAGACGGTATCAGGCATTAATTGGGGAATGAGAGGGTTAATGGAGGGTATCAGAGCCATCCATCCAGGCAAGATGGGAGCATTCCATCATACTCCTAACTCAGTATTCCTAGCATCTGAATTGCTCTCGAAGACACTGTTTTTATGTTGCAAGTCCAGTTGAGTTTCTGGTCAATGGTAACCTGCAAGGATGTTGATGGTGGGGATTCAGTGACAGTAACACTGTTAAATATCAAGGAGCAGTGGTTAGATCGCCTCTTATTGGTGATGGTCATCACCTGACATTTGTGCTGCAAGTATTACTTGCCACTTGTCATTCCAAACCTGGATATTGTCCAGATCTTGTTGCATTTGAACATGGACTGCTTCAGTATCCGTAGAGTCGCAAATGGTGCTGAACATTGTGCAATCATCGGTGAACATCCCCATTTCTGACCTTCCAATGGAGTGAAGATTATTGATGAAGCAGTTGAAGGTGGTTGGACATAGAACACTACCCTGAGCAACTCCTTCAGGGATATCCTGGACCTGAGATGTCTGACCTCCAACATCCACAACCATCTTCCTCTGTGTCAGGTATGGCTCCAACCAATGGAGACTTCACCCCCCGATATCCATTGACTCCAGTTTTGCTAGGTTTCCTTGATGCAAGACTTAGTCGAATGCAGACCTGATTTCAAGGGCTGCCACTCTCATCTCGCCTCTGAAATTCAACTCTTTTCTTCATGTTTAAACCAAGGCTGTAATGAGGTCAGGAGCTGAGTGCCCCTGGTGGAACCCAAACTGGGCATAACTGAGCAGGTTATTGCTGAGCAGGTGCTGCTTGATAGCACTGTTGATGACACCTTCCATCACTTTATTAATAATTGAGAGGAGACTGATGGGACAGTAATTGGCTGGGTTGGATTTGTCCTGTTGTTTATATAAAGAACATACCTGGACAATTTTCCACATTGCCAGTGTTGTAACTGTAATGGAAGAGCTTGCCTAGGGGAGCAGCAAGTTCTGGAGCACAAGTCTTCAGTGCTATTGCTGGAATGCTGTCAGGGCCCATAACCTTTGCAAATTCCAGTGCCCCCATCTGTTTCTTGATGTCATCTTGAGTGAACCAAATTTGCTGAAGACTGATATCTATGATGAGTGCATACACTGGAGGAGGCCGAGATGGATCGTCCACTCGGCACTTCTGGCTGAACATTGCCATGAAAGTTTCAGCCTTATCTTTCGCACTGATGTACTGGGCTCTTCCATCATTGAGGCTGGGGATAATTTGTGGAGCCTCCTCTTCCAGTGAGTTGTTTAATTGTCCACTACAATTCACGACTGAGTATGGCAGGACTGTAGAGCTTAGATCTGATCCGTTGTTTGTGGAATCACTTAGCTCGTCTATCACTTGCTGCTTATGCTGTTTGGCAAGCAAGTAGTCCTGCCTGGTGCTGCTCCTGGCACGTCACCCTGCACTCTCCATTGAACTCTGCTTGATCCCCTAGCTCGATGGTAATGATTGAGTGGGGAATATGCTGGCTCGTGAGGTTACAGATCGTGCTGGAGTACAATTCTGCTATTATTAATAGCCCACGGCACCTCATGGATGCCCAGTCTTGAGTTACTGGTCTGTTTGAAGTCTGTATCATTTTATCTGTCCCAGTGATAGTGCCACCCAACATGATGGAGAGTAATCTCATTGCGAAGGCAGGACTTCATCTCCACAAGGACTGTGCGGTGATCACTGTTACTGATACTGTCATGGGCAGATGCATCTACAGCCAGCAGATTGATAAGGACGGGGTCAATTATGTTTATCCCACTAGTCAGTTCCCTCATTAGCTGCTTCAGACGCAGTCTAGCAGTTATGTCCTTTAGGACCTGACCAGCACAATCAGCAGTACTCTTATTGGTGAAGATTGAAATCCTCCATCAGAGTACATTCTGCAGAGTCCCCGCAATCCTCAGCGCTTCGTCAAAGTGTTGTTCAACTTGGAGTAGTACTGATTCATCAGCAGCAGGAGGCTAGTAACCAGCAGGAGGTTCCCTTGACCATGTTTAACCTGAAGACATGGGACTTCATAGGGTCCAGTTGAGTACTCGCAGGACAACTCCCTTCTGACTGTATACCACTGTGGTGCCAGTTCTGCCGTGTCTGTCCTACCAGATGGTGGCAGTGGTGTCTGGGACATGGTAAGGTATGATTCCATGAGTATGACTATTTTAGGCTGTTGCTAGACTAGTCTGTGAGATAGCTCTCCCAATTTTAGCACTAGCCCCTACATGTTAACAAGCAGGACTTTGCAGGGTCAACAAGGCTGTGTCTGCTGCTCTTTTTTCCGATGCCTAGGTCAATGCCAGGCTGTCCATCCAGTTTCATCTTTTTGAAACTTTGTAGTGATTGATAAAACTGAGTGGCATGGCTGGCCATTTCAGAAGATAGTTGAGAGTCAACCATATTGCTGTGAGTCTGGAGTCACATGTAGGCCAGACCAGGTGAGGATGGCAAAGTTCCTTCCCTGAAAGACATTCATGACCCAAAAAAATTTCTTTCTGACAATAGACAATGGTTTCATCAGTATATTCTTAATTCTAAGTTTATTTTTATTGAATTCAAATTCCACCATTTGCCATGGTGGCCCAGAATATTGCCTGAGTTTCTGGATTAATATTACGGCAATAATACCACTAGGCTACCCCTTGAAGTGGTTTTGGGATATATCGGGAACTGGGAGTAAAGTCTCTACTGGCTGGAGTCGTACATGACACAGAGGAAGTGGGTAACAGGAATGGATGTGAAATGGAGTGGTTCGAGGGCAGTATTGAGAATGCATCAAGAATGAGGTGGTTTAAAGAGGGGTAGTGGGGACAGGGTATAGCATAAGATGGTTTAAAAGGGGTATCAGGGACTGTGTATAGAATGAGGTGGTTTAAAGTGGGTACCGGTTACTGTGTATAGGATGAGTTCTTTTAAAGGAGGTTGTGGGGACTGGGTGTAGATGAGGCTTATATTCACTGGAGTTTAGTCATAGAGTCATAGAGTAACACAGCGTGGAAACAGGCCCTTTGGCCCAAACTGATCCATGGTGCCCACTCAGCTAGTTCCAATTGCACGCATTTGGTTCATATCCCTCTAAATCCTTGCCATCCATGTACCTATCCAGATGTTTTTTAAATGTTGCTATTGTACCTGCCTCAACCACTTTCTCTGGCAGCCCATTGCATATACACAATACTCTCTGTGTGAAGAAGTTGTGCTCAGGTCCTTCTTAAATCTTTGCCTCCTTGCCTTAAAATTATGCCCCCTAGTTTTCAATTCCCCATCCCTGGGAAAGAGACTGTATGCATTCATCCTATCTATGCCCCTCATGATTTTATACATCTCAGTAAGGTCACCCCTCATTCTCCTATGCTCCAGGGAATAGAGTCCTATCCTGTCCAACCTCTCCCTATAACTGAGGCCTACTAGTCCTGGCAACATCCTCGTAAATCTTCTTTGCACATTTTCCAGTTTAACCATGTCTTTCCAATAACAGGGTGACCAAAACTGTCCACAATATTCCAAGTGCGGCCTCACTAACAACTTATACACCAACTGTAACATAAATTATCAACTCCTATACTCAATGCCTCGACCAATGAAGGCCAGGATGCTAAATGCCTTCTTCACTGCCCTGTCTACCTGTGACACCGCTTTCAACAAACTATGTACTGTACTCCTAGGTCCCTCTGTTCCACAACACTCCTCAGGACCTTACTATTTATTGTATAAGTTCTACGTTGGTTTAACTTTCCAAAATGCAACACCTCACACTTATCTGCATTGAATTATCTGCATTGCCAATCCTCAGTCCACTTTCCCATCCGATCAAGATCCCTCTAATTTTTCATAACTTTCTTCACTATCAACGATACCTCCTAATTTTGTATCATCCATGAACTTATGAAATATACCTCATACATTCACATTCAGATCCAGATTTGTAAATAACAAATAACAAAGGTCCCAGCACCAACCCCTGTGGCACTCTACCAGTCAGAGGCCTCCAGTCCATGAAACAACCTTCAACCATCCCCCTTTGCTTCCTACCATTGAGCCAATTTTGAATCCAATTCGCTAGCTTTACCTGGATTCCGTGTGACCTAACTTTCACGACTAGCCTGCCATGCGGGACCTTGTCAAAGGCCTTACTGAAGTCCATATAGACAACATCCACTGCCCTACCCTCATCCATCCTCTTGGTTACCTCTTTGAAAAACTCTAAAAGGTTTGTCAAACATGTCTTTCCTATGCACAAATCCATGCTGATTATCCCTAATCAGACTTTGACTATCCAAATGTTGGTTGATCCTGTCCCTCAGTAACTTCTCCAATAACTTGCCTACCACTGATGTCAGGCTCACTGGCCTATAGTTCTCTGGCTTGTCTTTGCTACCTTTCTTAAACAATGAAACATCATTAGCCACCCTCCAGTCTTCCGGAACTTCACCAGTGGCTAAAGGGGAAGCAAAAATCTCTGCAAGGGCTTCTGCATTTTCTTCCCCAGCCTCCCACTACATCTGGGAATGGACTTAATCAGGCCCAGGGGATTTATCCACCTCAATGCGCTGTAAGGTTGCAAACACCTCCTCTCAGGTAATGCTTATGTAGTACAAAACATCACCACTTGTTTCCCTTATTTCCTTAGCATCCATGATTCTTTCCTCAGTGAGCACTGAGGAGAAATATTCATTAATAATCTCCCCCATTTCCTGTGGCTCCACACATAGAGGCCCATGCTAATCTTTAAGGGGACCTATTCTCTCCCTAGCCACCCTTTTACTCTTAATATGGCTATAGAACCTCTTGGGATTATCTTGAACCTAATCTGCCAGATCCATCTCATGACCTCTTTTTGCTCTTCTGATTTCCCTCTTAAGTGTGCTCCTACACTTTTTATAGTCATTTAAGGATTCACTTGAGCCCAATAACTTTAACCCAATGTATGCCTTCTTTTTCCTGACCAGAGCCTCAATATTACTCGTCAGCCAGGGATCCCTAAACCTGCCAGCTTTTCCCTTCACCCCAACATGGACCTACTGTCCCTGGGCTCTTCATATCACCCTTTTAAAATCCTGCCATTTGCCAGTCGTTCCTTTTCCTTCAAACAGACACACCAATAGACCACTGCTAGATCCTGCCTAATGGCCCCAAAATTGGCCCTGCTCCAGTTTACCACCTTAACCTGTGAACCTGCCCTATCTTTTTCCATAACTATGTTAAAACTAAGAGAGTTATGGTCACTGGACCCAAAGTGCTCTCCAATTGACAATTCAGTCACTTGCCCAGCCTCGTTTCCTAAGAGGAGGTCCAGTCTTGCACCCTCCTGAGTAGGGCCCTCTACATATTGTTTTAAGAAACTTCCTTGGACACATTTGACAAATTCCACCTCATCCGGGCCTTTCACACCCTGAATGGTCCAGTCAATACAGGGGAAATTAAAATATCCAACCAATACTAGTCTACTATTCCCACAGGTATTTGCAATCTCTCTACACATCTGCTTCTCTACTACCCGCTGACTATTTGAGGATCTATAATACAGTCCCAACAGAGTGACCATCCCCTTCTTGTTTCTAAGTTCTAGCCATACGGCCTCATTTGATGACCCCTTCAGAACATCCTCTGCAAAAGCACTGTTGTTATGTCCTCCCTTATCAAAGGGGCAACTCCCCCTCCTCGCTTACTTGTACTTCTGTCACGCCTGTAGCTTCTGTATCCCAGAACATTGAGCTGTCAGTCCTGCCCTTCTCTCAGCTATGTTTCTGGTATGGCTATAATATCCAAGTCCCCAGAGTCAATCCATGCTCTGAGCTCTTCTACCTTACCAGTCAGGCGTTGAGGGTTGAAATAAATGCACTTTAAACCAGAAGTCTTTTCCCCTCCCTTTACTGTGGCCCTGTCTATCCTGAATAGTAAGCTTGGTCTCAATGACTAATGTATTTTCCTCTGAATTCTCGAAGGTCCCTCTCTTATTCAAAGTCCCCCCCACTACCCTAACCAACCCCAGCCCCCGCCAAACCGGTTTAAACCCTCCCGGGTAACACTAGCAAATCTCCCCTCAAGAATATTGGACCCAGTCTGGTTCAAGTGCAATCTTCCCTCTTGTACAGGCCACCTCTACCCTAAAAGAGATCCCAATGATCCAAGAACTGAAAACCCTGCTCCCTACACCAGCTCCTCAGCCATGCATTCATCTGGCCTACCTTTGTATTTCTATCCTCACTGGCAAGTGGCACTGGGAGTAATCCGGAGATCACTACCCCTGAAGTCCTGCCTTTTAACTTCTTACCTAACTCCCTATACTCATTTCACAGGACTCCATCCCTTTGTCTACCTCTGTCATTTGTACCGATGTGCACAATGACCTCTGGCTGTTCACCCTCCCCCTTCAGAATGTTCTGCAACCGCTCAGAGATATCCTTGACCCTGGCACCCGGGAGACAACACACGATCCTGGTGTCTCTTCTGCAGCCTCAGAATCTCCTGCCTGTCGCCCTCACAAATAAGTCTCCTATCAGTATCGTTCTTCTGACTGTACCCTTTCCCTCCGAGCCTCGCAGCTGGTCACAGTGCCACTGACCTGACTGCTGCTGCTAGCCCCTGAGAGGTCATCCTCCCAACAGTATCCAAAGCAGTATACCTGTCATTGAGGGGAATGGCCACTATCCGCCTTTACCCCCTTATCTCTTTTGGTGGTCACCCAGCTCCCTGCAGCCTGTACTTAGGAGTGATCACTTCACTATAGCTGTTATCAATGAGGTTCTCCGCATCCTGGATGATCCTGAGTGCATCCAGATCCAGCTCCCTTTCCCTAATGCAATCTGTATGGAGATGCAGCCAGGTGTACTTCTTGCAGGTACTACCATCCCTACTACCCTCTGTCTAGACAGAAAGAGAGTTAACCTGCCCTAACCTGCTCAGCCTCCTCACGCCAAAACCTCTTGAGCAAAGGCCTCAGTATTTCCAATCTATCACTGGCCTACTCTCTTAACATCTACTCCCTTGTACACCTTTACCTTGCCAGTCGTATTCCTCACAGAGCCCCTTTTTTGGGTCAGAGGAGGGAGGGAGGGTGGGAAATACCAATGTACTGCAAAGGATGAGGGTTAATCTCAAGTATGCCTATAAATTTCTAACAATGTTAGACAGGGTAAACACAAGCAGGATGTCCTTGATGACTCGGGATTCCAGAAGCAGAGTGTCACATTCTAGGAGTGTAGTATGTAGCCATTTAGGACTGAGACGAGCAGAAATGTCTTCACCCAGAGACTGGTGAGCCTGTAAAATTCTCTGTCACAGAAAGCAGTCGGGCCCAAAAGATTGATGGATTGTTTTCAAGGAGGAGTTAGATATCGTTCTTAGGGCTAAAGCAATCCAAGGATATGGGGAGAAAGAGGTTACAGGCGACTGAGTTAGATGATCAGCCACAATCGTATTGAATGGCAGAGCAGGCTTTAAGGGCTGAATTGCTCACTTCTGCACCTACTATGTTTAAATGAATAATGGGGGTTGATGGAGGCTTTCAGGGACTGAGGGGGGAACAAGGAGATTATATAGGCTACCAGTGACCGAGTGGTGAACGTGAGTGGGTGATAGAGAGTAACAGGGACTAAGTGGGGAATGAGAGGGGTTTAATAGATGGTATCAGGGACTGAGGGCGGATGAGGAGATTATGGAGGGTATCAGGGACTGAGTGGTGAATGTAAGTGAGTGATAGAGGGTATCAGGGACTGAGGGGAAATGAGAGGGGATTGATGGAGGATATCAGGGACTTAGGGGTTATGAGGAGCTTATGGAGGGTATCAGGGACTGAGTGATGAAGGTAAGTGGGTGATAGAGGGTATTTGGGACTGAGTGTGTTGAAGGTGAGGGATGCAGTGATAGTGATTCAAGTGACTGTAATGAGGTGATGGTCAGATTATCTCCTGTTACAGATGCTGATTGCCTGTCACTTGTGTGGCTTGAATTCTCCAAGAGACTATGGGGGTGAATTTCAGGACAACAATATTGCCAGTCTTTTCCTTCTGCTATCCTAACCTCAATTCTCTGTTGCTCCCCTCTTTAGGCTATTTATCAGGACAAACATCATCAGGATGCCCATCCCTACAATGTCTCAGCTCATCATGTTGTCAAGCCTTTCTACTCCAGGTCTAAGAGTTACCTCACCATCCAGAAACATCAGCAGTTACTGGCCTGTGATTCTGAGCTGCATGTGAAAGTCCACTACATTATCAGGGGTATTGCTGCTGAGGCTGACAGCAACCTGGCTGTATTCTACCTGGTGAGGAGCTGTCAATTGTCTGAATGCCTTAACACTTCTCTCAAACCCCTATACATGTTCCCACCAGCTATCCCCATTCCCCAAAGCCCTGTACTGTGAACCTGTAACCCCCCGATACCTGAACCCCTCCATGTGGATTATTAACTCTTTCTGTTTCTCCCTCTCTGTCATCTCCAGGTCATGTCGAGGGGAGTGATTGTGAACATGAACTCGAAAACCATCTCCATCAAAGGCTCTGAAGGTTTGAACCATGCTTCACTTGATGCCGTCTGACTGATAGACAGAGAGAGAGAGAGACAGAGAGACTAATCCTGCCCTTTTTCCATGGCATTGCTATCAATGAATGCCCCCACTATCAACATCCTAGGGCTTACAATCGACCAGAAAAATCAGCTGGGCTTGCTATTTAAATACAGTGGTTGCAAGAGGGTCAGAGAGGGGAATCCCGCAGTAAGTAACTCACCTCCTGACTCCCCAAAGCTTATCCACCATCTACAGGGCATGAGTCAGGAGTGTGATGGAATACTCCCCAGTTGCCTAGATAGGTACAGCTCAGATGTGTTAGACATGACGGGTGGCACGGTGGCTCAGTGGTTAGCACTGCTGCCTCACAGTGCCAGGGACCCAGGTTTGATTCCACCCTAAGGCGACTGTCAGTGTGGAGTTTGTACATTCTCCCCGTGTCTGCATGGGTTTCCTTCGGGTGCTCCGGTTTCCTCCCACAGTCCAAAGATGTGCAGGTGAGGCGTACTGGCCATGCTAAATTGTCCATAGTATTCAGGGTGGTGTAGATTATAGGGGGTTGGGTCTGGGTGGGATGCTCTGAGGGTTGTTGTGGACTTGTTGGGCTGAAGGGTCTGTTTCCACATTGTAGGGATTCTATGACCTTTTTCTGACAAATAGCTTGTGAAGACCCAAGGTTTTCGCAAAATTGTTGAATTTTCAGTCCTTGAGAAGAACTATCGAGTTCTCCAAAGGTTAATTGAATTTTCAATGACATTCTTTATGTTTGATTTCAAAATAAGATTGGCTGCCCAGCTGGCTGAAGTATCCTCTATCCATATTTGCATGTAATCTTTGTTGTCTATTTAATAACTGTATCAGTTTTACTTATGACACTATTACATAGAACATAGAACATTACAGCGCAGTACAGGCCCTTCGGCCCTCGATGTTGCGCCGACCCGTGAAACCAATCTGAAGCCCATCTAACCTACGCTATTCCATTATCATCCATATGTTTATCCAATGACCATTTAAATACCCTTAAAGTGGGCGAGTCTACTATTTTTGCAGGCAGGGCATTCCACGCCCTTACTACTCTCTGAGTAAAGAACCTACCTCTGACATCTGTCCTATATCTATCACCCCTCAATTTAAAGCTATGTCCCCTCGTGCTAGCCATCACCATCCGAGGAGAAAGGCTCTCGCTGTCCACCCTATCTAATCCTCTGATGATCTTGTATGTCTCTATTAAGTCACATCTTAACCTTCTTCTCTCTAATGAAAACAGCCTCAAGTCCCTCAGCCTTTCCTCATAAGACCTTCCCTCCATACCAGGCAACATC